ATAATTCTGTTTCTTTTGCGCTCTTTTTCCCAATGACAAGAAGTGAACTTTTGAAGAGGGGCCAAACTTTTTATCCGGAAGAGATGAGGGGAGAGAAGCCGCTGATGAAGAAGAGACGTGAAGGAGTGGGGCTAGAGAAAGCGAGAGAGAGAGAGGTTATTATCAAACAATTATATAGAGGGACTTTCAAACAAAGAAGCAAGGGAATTGGAAAGAAAGAGAGAGATGATCAGGATAGTCTCTGCTTTTTCAATATATAATCCAATATTCTGCAATAGGGATGGTGACGAGAGGAGAGATGGGCTTGACCAGCCTCATTTTTGTCACGAGAGTGTGTATTACTATTGACTAAAAAGCAAAAATGAGGCGATGGGTGTCCGTTGAACGGGAAACCTTGTCCAGGCTATCGCCTCATTACAATGAAGAAATTCTGCGCTGCTGTCATTTACCCATCTCTACATTTTGTCTGATAATCTCAGCTCTTCCTTATTTGTTCACATTATGGACAGCTAACAATCTTCTGTTCATATTTATATGGGTTTTCCATAATTCGTCCCAACCGCTATGTTGAAAACCCTACTTGTCTTAGTATTCCAAATTTTCTGGTCTAACCTTTTGGAAATGATGACAAACAATCTTGTCCCTTTTACTAAACATACCTCCATATTTCTTGTTTTCTGCTATTGCAATATATCTTGACGAATATCACAAACGTTATTGCACCTTTCAATATTATTCCTTGGAATAAAATTTCTTCGAAATTAAAGTGTCCCAGTAGTTTGAGCTGACTGAAGCAGGTCAATTGATTTTTCATGCAGGGAAATAGATAGAGAGTTATATATTTCAATAATCAATATTCAAGAACTTGGGAGACTGTAATAAATAAAAAATCATGGGAACAAACTCGATCCTTGGATCCCGTCCGGAAGGGAATGGAAGAAGAATAGAAAGCGACTAATCTGCATGTCCAGCATTAATTAACAGCTGGTTGTCGAATGAATAAAAGAAAAAGGATAATATTATTGTATGTTCACTATTTCCAGGTCAAGCTTAAATGGCACCTCAAATTCAGTGCAAATTGTGCCAATGGGGGAGAGGGTCATGAGGCGTTTTTACGCAAATGCCCATGGCACTGAATTGGTAGAGATGCAGGGACATCGATCCGGATGCATCACGCCTTTACATTTTCATGGTTTTACTTGTGTAGGATTGCCCTTTTCCACAAAAGATCAGAGGCAAAGAAGATTAGCACGTGAGGAGGGGTAAGGGGGAGAGAAAGCAAATCCCCTGAAAGTCCGTGGAAGATACACGTGCTGATCCAACACAGACTACACAAACCAATGTCTCGGTTGGATTAAATTAAATTATAAGAGGTTGTGGTTGTTGTTGCTGAGATTGGCTTCATTCATTCATCTCCTCACTAGAGACTACCCACCCACCGAAGGGATTCCCACGCTACCTCTCTCTCTCTCTCTCTCTCTCTCGCTCTCTCTACTAATTCCCGGTCAATTACGGAGACCGCCCCAGAATAGTGGCTGAACATTATGCCATTATTAGGGTCATTACCATCATTTTCCCCATTTGATTAATCAAAGCCTCGCAACTTCAACACAATCGCCGGTCCACAACTCTTTTAAACCTGCGTGACCGAGTGCCGTTGCCTTTACGAACACTGCATAACGCCATTAATAGGCGTAGCAAATGAGTTATCCATGGGAATCCTAGGGCCATCTCCCACACATTTCACTTGCAGGCTTCGAATCTTAGGTGGTCGTACTGCTGCTTCCCCACCTTATAACCCCACGATACCGGCATGTTACCTTTAATTGTTTCATTGAAACCCCCTTGAAAAAATTGGATAATTTGACTACCAAGCATGGCAGTTTGGAGGTAAAGTTCTAGCCTATCTCTCCTCAGATCATGAGTTCTATTTATGTCGTGAGCAAATCTTTGCATTACTCATATGCTCTACTGAGTACTACCAGAATTTTTTCGCCCCCGTCTTGCCAAAGGAGGCTATAACGACTCACTCGCCCTTTTGAAGCCCATTTCCTGAGTAGCCTTAATTCTACTAGACATTTATTAGCGCGTGCAAAACTCGTATCGACAACGCTCATGGAATTTCACGCTTGGTTACCTTTACCCATCCTTCATTTACGAAAAAAAGGACTATTTCAAAAACCAAGTTGACTTTGCTTTCTTTTTTTTCCTTTCAGAGTTTGAACGCTATCCAAATTTACAGAAATATAATGCTAATGACATACTAACACCGATTAATAAAGATTTTCAAAATAATGTGACAAATTAAAAGTGGGCATTTGAGGGAGAATTACCAAAAAATCCTAGATATATTACACTTATGTCAATTTAGTTCTAAATCTTTTAATTGTATCAATTGAGTTTTATGGTACATTTGGGAATGGCTTTCCCAAGCCACTTTGGGTGTCCAAAGCCCCTTGGACTAAAATTAGGTGTTTGGGAACAATTTTTAGAAATCCCATTCAGCAAAAGTCAGCCTTGTGAAGGCTGAAAGCCCAAGGCAGGTTCTAGGTTGCTTTGGGCTTTTAGCTTTCTTGGCATGCAACACTCCCAAATAAGTAAAAAACATTTCTTCCAAAACTACCCTCATCTATTTTTTGATTTTTCCAATTTTGCCCTCGTTTATCATTGTTCATCGTCTTCTTCACTTAGCTCGGAGGCGTGGCTATGAGGGGACGACGACGGACTGGAGAGGGGTCGGTGTGATCGTGCAACTTAGCGACGTTCGCCTGGGGTTGTATGACCGTTGCGACGGGCCACGCTACCCAGGCGAGGGCCGCCTGAGGTCGCGCAACCTAGACGGCCCTCGCCAGGAACTCGCATGATCTCGGAGAGGCACTGCGTGATTCAAGCGAGGGTCGGCTAAGATCGTGCTACCTAGACAACCCGGCGGCCCTCGCCTAGGTTTCGCGACCCTCGTCAGGGGTTGTTCGATCCTAGGCAACCCTCGTCGGTGGTCGCCGTGGGCTGCCTGAGGTCGTTCAACCTCAGACGATGGCCGCCGGCCCAAATCTGGGTCGCTGGCGGCCGCCTGCCCTTCGTCAGCTCTGGCAAAGGGTTTGAACTTTTCTTTATTTAAAAAATAAAAAAAGTGCCTTGCAAGAATAATTTTTCTAAATGCTATTTTACCCAAAGTTGCTTTGCAATGGACTTTTAAGTTACAACTTAATAAACACAATTTGCATTTTGAAAAACTCCTTCAACTTAAAGTCATTTGCATTTTTCCAAAGACTTTCCCCCCAAAGTGTTCCCAAACGCAACCTTAAACCTTTTCATTTTTTGCCAATTGAGTTCATTCGGCCAATTTTAGCTGATATGGATGCCGGGTGTCCTATGTGGCACGGCTGGTGTTGATATGGATATCTTTAATAATTTTAAAATAATTTTTGAATTTTTTTTTTCTTTTCTCTTCTTTAATTTTTTTGGAACTTAGGGTCGGCGACACAGGCAAGGGTTGTGACACCCTCGCCGGCATTGGGCGAGGGCGTTGCGGCCCTCGCCAACATTGTTTGATGGCCGTGATGCCCTCGCCAGCCAAAGTGAGGGTGCGTAACTTCCCATGTAGATTTTCTGAGGGTTGTGACACCCTAGCCAGATTTGGGCTAGGTGAGGGTCACCGGCACCAGCGCTTGCCCTAAGTTAAAAAAAATGTAAAGAAAAGAGAAAAGAAAAAATAAAAAAAATAAAAATATAATAAAAAAAAGGCCCATGTTAGCGTCGACTGTGCAACGAAAGACGGCCAGTGTTCACGTCAGTAATTTCCGACCAAAATTGATCGGATGGACTCAATTGGAAAAACGCAAAAATGTTTAGGACTCAATTAGCACAATTAAAAGGTTTAGGACTAAATTGACACAAGTATAATAGGTTTATGACTTTTTTGGTAATTTTTCCTAAACAATCAACACCAAAGAAGATTTTTTAGTCATGACTCCGTACATCACTTTTATAAATCGATCTTACTCTACATGACGTTATTGTATATGGCTTCAACGCTTCAGTGAAGATGTTCATTTTCAATTAATTTAGTGGAATGCAAAACTCCAATGATCCGCGTGCGCTATCATGATCTAAAATGTTCAATATTGGTAAAATAGGGTACTTGATTGTAATTATTAGAATGTGCTAGTAAATATTTAACAAGTGACAAATTTTTTAGCTAAATATGTCTATTTGATTGCTAACTTAACAAATTACAGTTCAATTTCACTAACCGGTATCGAAGTCTACCAATATCTATGAAGCAACTATACAGTCATCAAATAACAATTAAGTTAATTGACTCTTAGTTGACCAATATATTACCAGCTGAGATCCTAATTAAACAGTGCCTATCAAAATGTACCAATTGTCGTATGAAACCACTATAACTATTTGCTACTAACTATGTTGGAATTTACCAATGTCTAATTGATCAGTAGCTTAGCAGCTTTCGTTTCAATTTACCAGTGGATCGAAATTTATTAGTATTATCAGTACGAAGTGACTGGTAAAGTTGAAATGTATGCCCATAACATAACTTGACACTGGCAATGGCATATTCAAATGCAAGCCGACAATTTATTAATTATATACAGTGACTTGGCCAACTAGATCCAAGTAAGCAATAATGAGTTCATGGAGACTCGTGCCTTGTTTATGCCCAAGGATGTTTGGCTACGCTGCAGGACCAAGTGCTGCATGAATGCACGACCGGACACCTGATCATGTATGACAATCTCCAGGCGTGGAATTGATCATGCATGCGATGTGGCAAAATATACTGACTGCCATCTTAATCAAGACAAAACCTTTTAGGCTAGGCCAACACTTGCAACAATTACATGCCCATGCTTGAACAAGCAAGCATCAGAACTCGTTAGATTGAGCAGTTCGATCGATGCTCGTCTGTTGCAAGGTGTCATGCTACTGCAACACCAGTAATGATAATGGAAATTTTCACATAATAGAACTCGACGCCCTTAAAAGGTAAAAGAATTACCTGTGTCCACTTTTTTAAAGGACCTGATTTATTTATGCCTTTCAGACATTTGTACAGGGATGGACGAATTGCATGGGGCAATTTGGCTTTGGTAGAAAGAGTTTCGGAATGAACAAAGAGTTTTGCTTTACCCAGTACATGTCAGATGCACAATACCGGGTGCGATTCCACCGACCCCTTTACTATGCCGAACATAAGACCTCAGTAAGGTACCCAATCAGATTACCAGAATAATAGCAGCGAAGAAGCAAAACCATCAGAATTCAAATCTCTTGCCCCATGGAGCCAGTATATCATGTTGATCCATATGACTATCCACTTGTTGTCTGTTGGTAAGGCCCTACTTGCGAAGAGCTAATCAAAATGGTTACTGTATGTCGTAGGAGTTCCGGTGCCCTTTAATACATATGGATGACCACCTGATGCCTATTGATAAGGCTCTCCTTGTGCAAATCAAAATGGCTAAAAGCTGTCGTAGGAGTCCTTGCCCCTTTAAATGCATAAATTTCCAATCCATGCACATCTTATTATGTGCGAATTACCTTGTGCTCGCATGCAGGCAGGCAGATGTCCCTGCACATGTCCAGCAGAATGCTGCATGGGTCTGCATGTGGGCAATAGTTAGTAAGAGAAAATTACTTTGAAGGAGTGAAGCCATACTGGAGATTGCATTCGTCCAATCAAATTTCCACCTGGGTATCTTGGTGAAAAGGAACTTCTTTAGATGTAAAGAAGCATGCAAGATATCTGTATTTATCAATCAGTCAATCAAGTAAAGATGTTGAGTGTAAAAAAAAATCCCATCAACAGCTGTTTGCTCGTTGCCCGAAATTATATAGTGCATACCTGAAGAAAATGAAGCATGATTTCCATCTTGACTTTTTCTCCTCTGAAACAACAATCTTCAAGAAAAGAAAGGCACCTTTCAACATTCTAGACTTGGGAGAGCTAATTTTGTAGCTTTGACAAATGAGATGAAGAATTTTCATCAATGGATCCTAAGCGCCAGTTGCAACAAGTGCTATCAGCATCCATCTTTGATATATGTAGAACCGCGTTATGGTAGTTGAATAGGGTTCGCCGATGACCAATGCTCACATATGTGATGCCAGCAGCTTTAATAAGCTGGTACAAATGAGCCTACCAAAATAGCCAAGATTAACATAATAGCATCAGAGGAACCTCCCTCATGTTGAGGCAAGTTTAGCCTATTTAGCATCTCTCTCTCTCTCTCTCTCTCTCTCTCACACACACACACACACACACACACACACACACACACACACACGCACACATGTTTTTTCATTTTGCTGTAAAGAATGCAGCACCAGAACTGATATATAAAAACAGGTATGCAAACATCTCAACCGCGTTATGGTAGTTGAATAGGGTTCGCCGATGACCAATGCTCACATATGTGATGCCAGCAGCTTTAATAAGCTGGTACAAATGAGCCTACCAAAATAGCCAAGATTAACATAATAGCATCAGAGGAACCTCCCTCATGTTGAGGCAAGTTTAGCCTATTTAGCATCTCTCTCTCTCTCTCTCTCTCTCTCTCTCTCTCTCTCTCTCTCTCTCTCTCTCTCCCTCTCCCTCTCCCTCTCCCTCTCCCTCCCCTCCCCCTCCCCCCTCCCCTCCCCTCCCCCTCCCCCTCCCCCTCCCCCTCCCCCTCTCTCTCTCTCTCTCTCTCTCTCTCTCTCTCTCTCTCTCTCACACACACACACACACACACCCACAGACACGCACACGCGCGCACATGCACACACGCACACACATGTTTTCCCATTTTGCTGTAAAGAATGCAGCACCAGAACTGATATATAAAAACAGGTATGCAAACATTTCAAGCGCTCAATAATCGGACATGCCATACTTTTTGAATTATTGTGCTCCAATATTGAGCCCTGGTGCAATAAAATTTGGAAATCGACCAACTAACTATCATTTACAGCTTGTTGTGAAGAAACAGCAGCATCCATGACTCCATAAGACTTTTTCCTTCCCCAGGATACTAGACTTGAAGGAGTAAAAGAATTTGAAACGAACTATGATTTAAGTACCTCATTGTCCTCATCCAAGGCACTTGTCGATTCGTCCAGTAAAACCAACTTTGGTTTTGAAAGCAATAGACGAGCAAAAGCAAGGCGTTGCTGCTCGCCAAGGGAAAGAACACTTGACCATTCATATGTTGAGTCCAGACTTTCAAAACGAGCTAACAAATAATCCAGGCGAACATCTTCCAAAACCTTTACCAGATCATCAGTTGTGGGCATCCTAGACCTTTTACTCCCATCTCCTGAAATCGGTTTCTGTGCCAAGAATGGTGGCATACCTGACAGGAAATTATAAATCTCTAAGTAGATTAAAAGTTCATCACTCGTATTTTAAGGTAGCTGATAACAATACATATTAGATGCCAGCAGAAGAAAAGTAAATCAGTGTGCCTTGACTCAAGCAGAGAATAGCGATTGTATGTATCACATCTTTGAACAGATGATACACAATACACAAAGAAAACTAAGCATTTCATTTATTAGCTATCGTTTGCAGGTGAGAAAATTTCAAACCCGACTAAAACAACATCAAAAGAATCAAGTCCAAGGAAACAGGTTTGCAAGTATTTTTCTAGGAGGAGGAGAAAGTCTTCTAATTTATTAAGTGAAAAACGACATCTTGCCGAGCAGCGCTGAATTGCTCTGGACAGACCGGATAGTCAATTCTGTCACACTCCAAGATGTAAACAATATCTTTTGCCCACATAAGTATGCATTCTTTATGCTTAGAAAGAGAATTTGTTGATAAAGCAGGCTGGCCACATGACTGCATATTTCTTTGTATCAGTACATGATGATCGCATATTACACCCCTTATTACCAGAACTTTCACCGAAGCTTTGTCTGAGTGTAGAAAAAGAGGAACATGATAGAAAAAGGAAAAAATATACAACACAAGAAAAGCACTGTGAACTCCTGAAGTGATGTAGAGGAGCTAAGCCGATATGAGCCACAGCACTTGCCATCCACATAAAACTCGGTATAATCGTACAGGCATCATAGAAAACCAATATGTTCACTATTCAGTAAATAGCCTGCTTGAGGGCCTTCTAAATTTTTTCATTTTACCATAAACTAACCTGAATGATCGTCTTATCCATTCCTATTTCTTTCAACGTTTATGAGTTCAAGTCGCTTAGAACCTTCACTTTTAATGCAGCACAAACTCATGTCAACTAAGATTTTTCAAAATACTTCTAACAAAATTGCATCTTCAATTGTCGGGTGCTCATCAAGAATTTTTTCTTGTAAAATTACGAGACATAGTTGGAAAATGTACATTGGTCGCATCGGGTCATCAATGGCAGTACCCATTCTTTCTCACCAGTACTTTTCAATGAAACTAACAGAAACTAAGTCCTTTGGTCATGGTCAAGTTTTACACCCTGAAGGGGCTCATTATTAAGAAAAACCATTAACATCGCGCCTATCACGCTTATCTAACACAAACCACGAGGAGGTGCCAAACTCATGGGGAAGGGTGTGCAGTAATAATTTTAAGATGTCAAGAAACAAGTACTTCACACTACATACCAGTTGATGAATTGCCATTCGAATTAGGAGTTGCTCCTTCAAGCCATGTGGGATATAGCAACTGTTCACGTAATGTTCCCAGATTCATATATGGTCTCTGAGGGAGGAAAAATACGCTTCTCGGAATCTGACTAGGTGTCTTCTCAAGTTCCCTAAGATTTGAAATTGCTGTGTTTACTTCGAGAGAAGCCATGTCCTTCGAAATGGTTGACTGGGTAAATTCCACATCTTGAACATAGAATGTGATTGTTCCACTCCCACTATCCCAAAGGCCAGCTATAGCTCTTAAAAATGAAGTCTTGCCGCTGCCGCTAGGTCCCATTACCTAGTAATACACATAGGACTTTTAGTGCACCTGTATTGTAACACAGGATATGAACCCAAACAAATAGATAAGAAAATGTAAACTTACCAACAAACTATCATTGCAGTTGATCTGTAATGATAACTCCTTGATTAGAGTCGTTTTACTAGTAGGTGTCTGCAGGGTCAAATTTTCAATGTGTAATAACTTTTGGAATTTGTCCATAGTTACAGGCCCATTGCCCTCAAAACCAGGACACGCGTTGTGACAGATGAGATGTATGTGCTGCATGGAGTCATCAGCATATTTACTGGTACTGCTATCCAGGATATCATCAAATTCACCTATCACAGAAATACACAGCTTAGGATAACACGATCCAGAAAAGCAACTAAGAAAATATATTCTGCGAAGAGTCTCTGATCTTTTCAATATAGTTGTAAAACATCAGGGCAGAAGACTAGGAGTCTAGGGTCAGACCAGAAAACAACAGAGGGTAGCTTGTTTTCAGAATATGGTGCATTTTGCATGAGATCAAATTTAGACTGATATGATGTACACTTATAAGTTCATCTTCTTGATGCTCCTGAGGGAATACAAGAGAAGCAGCGAAAATCAGGTTTTGATGAGAAACGTGGATAACAATATCTGGTCTGTATTAGAAGACGTAGGACACCACTGAGATTGTATCATTAATCGGACCCAAAACTTGGTAAAGAATAGCCTGGAGAAAGAGGAGCTCCACTAAATCATTGATGGTATAGACCGGTGAAGTGTGAATAGATGAGAATGAAACTACTTCGTCAAAACGATCTGATATTCTAAAATAACTCTGCATTGTAATAGTCGGTCCTAAATGTTAATGGACTAAGACTTAGTATTTGAGATTCGTTTGTAATTGTAAATCCATGACAAGGAAGTAGGCAGGACAAAGTGCTAGTGCAGTACCTAGACGGTCAATGACAGCTGAAAACGCACTGATAGCTTGAAATTGATACACGATCAGAGAGAAATCTCCAAGGATATGATTAAAAGCAGATACAGACTGATTTATAACTCCAAACTCAATTTTCCCAGAGAAGTACATGGGAGCAACTACAGCAGCTGGAAGAATCTGGATGAGGTATCTGTAGCCATTTGTAAAGAACTCCAAGTTACGAGATGATATCAACAATTGCTGCAAAAGGCAAAAAAGGTTAGAAACAAAAAAAAAAATCAAAGAGAGAGAGATCAGAAGTGAAAATAGGAAAATGATCCAGCAATTAAATCGAGCAGTTGGTCATATCACTATAGAAAAATGACCAAAAAATTCTCTTAATGAGAATATGGACATTCAAGGATTTCTGTTGTGTTTTCAATGTCACCGATGTCAATCCTTGTTACAGTTAGGAGCTTTCACCTCCCATGTGGTAGCCAATGAGTTGCCACAGCTTTGAGGTTCTGCGGTTCTTTTAGGACATCATCCCCCAATTTAAGCCATAAGCCCTATATATGATCTATAATGAGTTGGATACATCAATGCCAAATCCGAAGACTAAAACTGCATGCCACCAGTCCATATTATCTCAGCTATTACGCTTGTACATTTACACCCCCTTAAAGATCAGCAGATCATGTTAATGAGAATTTTCTCCTTTATCCTACAGACACCCTCCACCTCCTCTGGACACAGTCAATCGTCAGTCTTTCTTTTCAAGACTATAATGGCAATTGTTCAATGAAGCATCCTTATTCAGCTATATTTCAACTTATGCATGTTCTTACCGCCTGATATCATTGGAAGAGCTCATCTGGTTCAACTGCAATCAATGCTTGATCTTGTTCAATTTTCACATAGCTTTATTCAGTAACTATTTGCTAAACCTAATATATTTACCACGTAAATGATTTTATATGAGCTGAAGTAGTTACATTATTCTTTGTTAAAAACAGAGGAAAGGCAAAGTGGCACAGAGTTCAAGAATTTGGTCGATGCAGTGTCATGAAAAGAGAAATGAGAGTCAATTGGAAGTCTCCATACAGTTAAATTCTCAAAAGCACTACTGAAGCGCTGCAGCAGAAGGTGCAATTCATTTTCCTCACCACCATAGAAAGCAATGGATTCAGCATTTTCTCGAACTCGTACGAGCCCGTAACGGAAATCGGCTTCTTTCTTCTCTTGCAGGAAATTTAGAGTAACCAGACCCTAAGTCAAACATTAAGACAGCTATTATTTACAGAAACTTACACCATCTTCTATCACCTCTATAAATCACTTGAAGAAACGAAGTAATCAAGAATCAGTAGGTTACCTTCCCGAGAAGCACACTGATGGCTGTTCCACCAATCGAATATACGACAAGAACAACAAAGAGAGGAGGATAGATACCATACAGGATATTGCTGAACGATATTAAGTCAACTGCAGCATTGAAAAATGTCAAAGAGAAAGAAAGGGCTGTGCCTGTGAACGAACTTAGATCGTCGACAATTCGCTGGTCTGGATTATCAATGATGGACTGGGATTGAATTTTGTAGAAGGTTCTATGCTTCAGATAGCGGTCCATGTAATATCTGGTCATCCAAGATCTCCATCTAAGAGCGAGAATTTCTCTTGCATAATCTCTCAGCACAAAGAACTGCAAACATGAGTAAGTAGGAGCAGTTATGTCCAGAAATTGGCGAACTAGGAGCTTTTTCGTCACTTAATTCAAGTCGATGGCAATGGAAACACCACAGAAAGAAGATAGCGACCTCATTTCAATGGGTGCTATTATCCTCGTTTAAAGAGAGAGGCCACTCGCCTAAGTCCACTTTTTGGCCCAAGTAACAGAAGGGTAAGTAAGGAGGAGATCCGGACAAAGGCCATTAAAAGAAAACAACTTGAAGTTAATCCTCCCCATCGGTCTATACAGGACTACAAACGCAGAGGAAGAAGAAAGCTTATAGAGTAGTGCTATACTAAGCCTGAGAAAGTAGTGAGATTGAGAGCAATGAAAGATGCGATGGTGCTCACCGGAATGCCAAAAGCGAAGCCGCCGAGATAATAGAGAAGTTGCTTGGTGAACTGCTCGGCGTCCTTGTCTTGCATTTAGAGGGAAGAGGGAGGACAGAAGCAGATTTGAGATCAACAAAATTAGCGATCGTCACACATTCAAGTCAGTGCATACAAAGAAGAGAAGAGAGAAGTAAGACGAGGCATGCGATGCATGGGGGTGGGTAAGTCCTACTGGCTAGAGCATTGTAGAAGTCGCGGCCAAGAAAGTTGAAGCCGACGCTGATGCCAGTGGTGCCCAGAGTAAGTGCAAAAACGGCAGCCAGCTGAAGTCGGGCTTGGGTTCTGTCCTCGGACCACCAATAGGGAGCGGCCACCTTCCAGAATCTCCTCCATAGCCTCCGGGAACTGAGGTCCTTGCTCTGGCCCTCGTATGAAACCAAACCCCAAAATCAACAGATTTACACCACCCAATGTTATAAACTGTAAATACAAGAAGAAGAAGAAGAAGAAGAAGAAGAAGAAGAAGAAGAAAGTAACCTGGTCATCATCTGGTTGGGGTGTGGAGGGGGAGGAGGAGGAAGAGGATGCCGCCGCTGCCACTGTGAAAGATTTGGAGAGGGACTTGTGGAAGGAAGAGGGTTGTGGTGGGATGGCATTAGTGTTGTTGGTAGAGGCGGAAGTGGTTGCACTTCTTCTTCTTCTTCTTCTTCTTGGAATTCCGATGGAGGCCATGGAGACGGAATCCCCGAGGGAGGGACTTGGGAAGCGAAGAATATGAAGGAGGGTATCTTTATGACGATGGCCTCCTCCTCCGCCACCATGACAACTCAAGTAGCGAGTGCCTACGGAGGAGGAGGAGGAGGAGGGGGAGTGCGCTTGCATATTCTCACGAATTACCAAGCAATGAATTTGTTGTCCAAAAGCGACCATCCCAACTCACAATCTCAGCGGTGGCGAGTGGCATCGGAGGAACTCTCGTTCGCCCAAAGCTCCCGTTCGCCCAAAGCTCCACGACGGTAGGAGTTGGGCAACATTATCCGCTTAGCCGAGCTGAGTATCTAGATATCCCTACTTGCCACGACACCGAGTCCCAGTCCCTATCACCAGACATTTTTTTTTTGTACGACTTTTACATAGTTTTATAATCGAGGAGTGTTCAAACCTTTTTTTTTTCTCTAACCAAATACCTTTACTTTTTAAACTCGACTCATCATTGTAATTATGTTAAAACGCGGACTAGAATAATGTCAATGTGGATATTAACACTATTACATGACCTCTTGAAATGATATCATGTCATAATTAAGATTGTCTAAATTAATAGTTTCTTTCTCCTTATTATCCAATCGTTTAAATTTCTATAGAGCAAGCAAGCAACATTAGCCATTCTACTTAAATTTTATGAATGATCTTTTCATGTCATCAAAAATCTATGACACGACATATTATTTAATGAATGTTTCGCATCGAGACAAAATTGAAAATTTTAGCTAGTTGATTGAATAAAAAAAATTAGATGCTTGATTATAAAAATGACTAATATTACCAAAAATCCAAAATTGGTACATTCGTACTATACACAAAATTTCAAAATGATATACTCGTGCCACATTTATGACAAATTAATTTTTGTGTAACAAAACTAGTACAGTTGTATCGGTATATCCGTACCAAAATGTTACCATGCTTATTCAGCGTGTGACATAAATCTAACATGAAAATTCAATGCTAATAGGTCTCCAGCCCTACCTAGGGGAGGCCACCCTCGACGGCCACAGGCAAGGGTCGCCCTCGCCTTCGGGCATCAGCTTAAGTTGGTGATCCACCTCTCTCCGAGGTGGTAGCTTCTTTGATAATTTGGGAGGCATCACATCCTTGAATGAGTCTACAACTTGGGTTATCTCTGTTAGGATATCATTCTCGTCACCCTCGAAGTCCTCGACCTTTAGGGTTTCCAAGAAGGTCATCTCCCATTACATTGGCCCCTTTGAGATTTGCATCGCTAAGAGTATCTTTCAATTGTGTCCCATGTCTTGTTTCACCGAGACCACACATTGACCTCTTGTGTTAAGAATGCAAATGCAATAAGCAAATGGAACATGAAAGCCTTTATTCTATTAAGAAAAAACAATGTTGATAACAAAATTATTGTTATCGAGTCGAATTATCTCGATAGTCTCTTTGTTGCCCATTTTCCAATGTGAACTTCCACATCTTCAATGGCGCTACATACGGGACCTCCTTGGAGTTCACGATTTTGAGCCACCCGGCTCCTTTCTCGACACGAAATTTCAACATCATTTCGGCCTCCTCTGATATGAAGGGATTAGATGCGCCCGTATCCACGAGTACACTCATCGTGGTGTCTGCAATCGTTACTTTTGCGAACACGAGTTTTTTGAGCTTGTTAGCCTTCTTCGTCTTGATTAAACGCCGGATTCACGACGAATCTAACTGTATTTCCTCTTGTTCTTCCTCATGGGCCTTGACTAGTGCCGTGAGTTTACTTCGCATTGGGCAGTCATGAGCTTGTGCGCCCCATCGCACAAGAAGCACTTCAAAGGAACGCGATCCGTCTTGTTGTCTCCACCGCTTGTCCCTGGCTTTGCGTCTGTGGTGGTACTGGCGGCTGGCCACCACTCGGGTGATTGAACACTCGGGTGATTGAGTTTATCGCGATCTGCCCCACCATTAACCTTGTTCTTGGGCCGGGATTTCGACCTGTCTCTCGAGTTCGTCCTGAACTCCACGAGTGTCTCAGCCGTAGACACGGCCTTCGACAAATCCTGCATGCCACGCTGCTGCAGTTCAAGCTTCACCTATGGCTCGAGAGCATCCATGAATTGTAGTAGCAGCTTTGAGAATCTCTTTACGTACTCTCCGAGTCCACGCTTTTGCTCCAAGCTACGAAGACCCGCTCGAGGTTCGTCCTCCGCATACTTCAAGTAGAATTGTCGAAAAATTTCCTCGACACATCCCGCGCAAGTTGTGATGTGTTATTTTAATTTCTTTCTATTTTTCTTTTAGTGAATAAGAAAAAGAATTGGTTTTTGCTGGAGACTTACCCGAATCACTTTTCTCTTTATTTCCATTTTTTTTTTGTTTTTTGAGTTGATGAATACCATATGCGTCATTTTCCTCATTTACTTATTTTTTTCATTTGTTTAGGGAACTGCTTTAAACCTCTCAATCCCTCAATCCGGCAAAATGTTGCTTTTGAATTTGGATAGTACAGTTGCGACACGGCCAACCTAAAGATTCCTATATTAATATCTATTATTCCCTTGACGAAAAACGATTCTTTTTAGGATCTGCTTTTTAAGTTTCTCGACAAAGCACAATTTAAGCGACGGTCGTGCTACTTACACAAAATAGATTTTCATTTTTATATGTAGTTAGAAAAGTTTATTACTAATTTTTCATTATGAGAGTCAAAATAATTGTAATTATATTTGGTTTTCTTCAAACAAGTTTGACTTATATGCGTTTCTTTATATGGTCAATAATTTTTTTTATCTAATCTACTATTAGCTAAGTCAGCATGAAATTTATGACGTAATAAATACTTGGCGAAGCATTTTCCTACATTTGAAATAAAATTATAGACGATAGGTATAACATGTAAATAGCAACCAGTCCCGTGTATCTACATTGGTTAGATTCTAGTACACGAGTAATGTGAATGTATGACGGCAAGTAACATAAAATACCTAATACGATGATCAACACGAGAAGGTATTCCTGGTCAAAATAAAGAGGCCAAGATCGCTAGCCTTTCACCAAAAAACCAAGACCATCTTTCACTTGGAATCTCCAGCCGTCTATATATGATAAAAATTTTGACAATTCGTTATAAAAGAGCTCAACTTTTGAGACAACCAATAAGGAGCAATTTGCATCTTTAATGCTAAACCATACGCATTTGATACGCAAATTAGTCTTGCTCTAGAAAGAAAGTTAAGGGGAGATGCACAACAGCAAATATCTGGTCCCCCTGATGACATTCATGTGTGGGACGGGACCTCATTGCATCAGCAGATGCTCTGCACCATCTTTCACTTCTCTTTTGCTTCCTCTCCCTCAGTGGCAGATTGTCCTTGTGTTGCTGCCATAGCTATGAGCTCACCAGGAGGTGGATGGTCAAACTTACAAGTAGCTCCATACTTGCATGTCCCAGTTTTCAGATAATATGGGCACACAATAGCATCCTATCATATGAAATGTATTTTAGCCATTAAAGATTATAAGATTCATATAGAACCATATAATATTTTCATAGCTACATCAGTTATGTGATCTTAAACTAGGGAAAGCCGGAACACCTCATATCATCTGATGCACTTGTTCATTCCAACAGTAATGACTAGCATAGAAGGTGTCCGTACATGGCCAACGTTAGCAGTGATGTCCTTAAAATGCAAACAAATTGAGGCCTTACAGTTGCATGCATAGGGCACACATCTTCCACTCACAAAATTAAGCTCCCATTCAAATTATAGGGCTAGATTTGGGAGAATCCATGCTGAGACCTGGGACTCTAAAAGACCTTAGTTTAGAAAGTTAATAATTAAACCACCTCATAATCGAAAAAGGTGTTGAAATAGGAGCTACTAATGACAATATGGAGGCAGAAAAAACTAAAAAACCAAAACTTTTTTGCATGTAGAAAGAGTTGAAGTTACGTTATAGAAAGGAAATGCAAGTGTTCTAGATAAGTACCTCAAAGGAACAATGTGAAAATAGGTTTAGAGGGAGGACAGTACCCACAAATTCCATTGGCGTGTATTAAGAGATAAGGGTTTTGAAAGTATTTCACATTATCAATGTGATTACCAGGCCAAAGGATGCAACACCAAGAACCAAAAGGTACAATCGAGGTAACTGGCCCTTCAACATGAGAGAGGGATTTGCAGTTCCAATTCAAGATCCAAAGCAAGACTCAACAAAAGTGAAGGGCAGCACACATCCACTTTGGTGACAATATGCTGTTTGTTTTAAGAAAATTATCCACTTTCCCATTCTCACTCTCCTTTGGAAAACATGGGAAACTCATTTAATAGCATTTCCCAACAATTTTCTTTTCAAAATACGAAAAACTTTTGTCTAAATTTAAAGTTGAAACTGGGGTTATTTTGAAAACTACAAATTGTCATTTTTAGAGTTTTGAACTCAAGTGAGAGCATGTTAGTGAGCAAAAGCGGGAAATAGGCTTCGCTGGTGTCCTTGTAGAGCTGATGGATGGATGTATCAGAGAAATCTCTCAATTTGACACCAAAAATGGAAAACTCATCTCTGCTTCTCAAAATCTCAGTCTTCAATCTCAGTATTTGCACATTTTTGACACCATAAAAGAATGTTGTGGATTGTTCTAGTGCAGAAGCTGTATTTAGAGCTATGGCCATAACCACTTGTTAGTTGATCTGGTTGAAAAATTTTCTAAAGGAATTTGGTATGAAAGTTGCAACCGATGACATTGTTGTGTGATCTTCAGGCAGATATTGCTTCAATCCAGTTTTTCATGAGACGATGAAACACATAGAGGTTGATCGTCACTTCGTTTGAGAAAAACTACAGTCTCTGGAAATCAGGACTGCAATTGTAAGAACTAATGATCAGTTGACCGATGTATCTCCTAAGGCTTTCAATGGTCCTTGGATTAAGTATATATGTAACAAGCTGGGCATACATGATATACATGCTCCGGCTTGAGGGAGAGTGTTAAGAATAGGAAATATTATCAGAGTAGATGTGTATACTAAGTTTGTAATATGTGGTAATCTTGGGTTTCTATTCTGTAACATGTGAATATAGTACAAATACATGTGTATTGTCTCCATGACAGACACAGTTTTTCTCTCCAATCCTGTCTCTAATTCTCACATTCTACAAGTGACTTATAAGTGAACCTAGCAAGATCACGGAAGAGGGAAAGTGCAACACGATAAACTACAAACAAATCCTCCAAAGATGGCTATCTGAAAAACGCAATCACTGTGGTAAAATTCCTTGGGTGTGAGAA